TGAGACCCGTAAGACCAATTTACGTTCATTGATCAACTTTATAAGCTAATGATCTAATGACCTAAAATTGTACGGTGACAATTTTGTGATTATTGAGAAGTCTCGTGGCGTTTGTGAATATTCAGATATGACGATTGTAGATCTAATCCAAGGGTTGAGAATTGGTCTTATTGACCTCACGAAAAACCCTTGGTCTCACATGATCCCAAGTATATATATATATATATATATATATATATATATATATATATCGATTGTTTATTAATATAGATGGTTGATCATAAATAAGAAACTCCAATAATTTTCCATAAATATTCAAATCATAATAGATGAACATTTATTTCATTTACATAAATATCTTAATTCTTAATTGATTGGTTTATATGGTTTGTAACATTTCCATGATATATATATATATATATATATAGTTTAGTTTCCGTGAATAATGTCATTTTTCATGAGAAATGTGAGATATAATGTAACATTTACATAGTTTCCGTGAATAATGTCATTTTTCATGAGAAATGTGAGATATAACATAACATTTACATAACATCTATAGGTGAATGATCGTATGAGAAAGAGAGTTAAGTTGACAAACGTAAGGAGGAATGTGGATAAGCATAAAGTCATTGAGAATCATTTACAAACTAATCCTATATAGTTAGCTTAATTGACAATAAGACTTTAATCATTAGGATTCTTTCTCAATAATCACTGACACGAGTTGTGTAAAGTCATTGGTGAATGCCCTATAATTAATTGAGATATACACAAATTGATACAGATACCCATGATTAAAAAATTAAAAAAAATCATTCACAAACTCAAAATTTTGATCGTTGGATTGGTAATGGGTCAATTCTAGTCAAACCATTAGTGATGTTAATTGACGTAAAAAAAATCATGTAAGACAAAAAAATAAATCAATTTAACCATTTCATTTTAATATAATTTCAATTTTTTTTCTTTTTAATTTGGAATAGATGTAATTAATGATTATAGCTTTTCATAAGATGAAACAAACACAGTACTTTAATTTTTCGACACAGTAACAACTTGACAAGTAATTAAACATATATAACCTCTTTTAATATGACAACTGATAAAAGATAAGTTAAACTACCCTCAAGGGTTAACTGTTTAGAAGACAAGTAT